TATCGATCAATTTACACCAAAAGCCAAACACTCATAGTCCCAATTCTATCATATAATGTAACAATCCCTCATTACTAAAAACAAGAACATAATCATAAACTCATTCAAGCATGATCCATCCATGATTTGATGAAAGAAATGAATTTCTAGACCATATAAAATCCTAGGTGGAATGAACTCTGGATCCAATTTCGGTCTATCATTACACTGTTTATTCACAATGATCCAACTCTTTTCTCTTCGAGCTACACTGCAATTTCTCCTTAATCTCCTACTTTCTCACTTGATCCAATTTCATACTTAAGCTTAAGCATCGTCCTTTTACGCCATCAAAGAAAAGACAGAGTAAAAGCAAAGTAAGAGTTCTAATCCATAAATATTAAAGAAAAAACTCATCGTTCATCTTTCTAGTTTCTTTTTTTTTTTCCTCTAATTTCACAATTTCCCTTAAAACCCTAGAATAAGCAGCAGGAATTTTCCACCTGCAACACCTTCAACCCGACCGGTGCTGACAAACTTTATAAACAAACCACCAAATCATGTAATCTCAAAATTGAACCAATCAAAATTAATAAATCAAACAATACGCCAACAATCAGACTGAAACCCATACCTATGATTGTCCCTGTTTTGAAGAAGAGGGTTCACCGCAATCTGACTGGTGCACTCGAAAGTTCGCTCAAGAATCGGGTAATAAACCTGGTGAAAGTTGATTTGCAGTGAAAAATGACGCGGCCGAGAGAAAGAAATCGAAGGAAGAGGATGCGGGTGTGTGAGAATTTATGAAAGCTTGGATTTGTGGATTCAATATCAAACTTGGTTTTTGAGCCGATTTGACCGTTAAAAATATACAACCATGAATCAGTGAGCTAATAGGAATTCCAAATGCCCCAAGAATTCCCCATGAATTTTGAATATATATATATATATATATACATATAATATCATTTTTCAGAAAAATATTAGATATAAAATCCAGGGTGAATTATTTTCAAAGCATAGAATTTTTTTTTTATAATTTAATTTCTAAATTGATTAAATTATTTTAAAATATAATTTTTTAATAGAATGTTTTTAAAAAATAATATATAATTTTTTACTCTTTCAAATCTTGAGTTACACTAAGTAATTTAAATATATAAAATAATTTCTCCTCTATGAATTAGAAAATAAAAATAACTATATAGTGATTTTTTTTAAATATATTATTATATTTTATATATTAAGTGAAAATATGTATATACGAAAGTTTCTATTATAATTTTTTTTTATTAAATTCATAAAATTCATCCCAATTCACTCTCATTTTAAATAAAGAAAGATGATAAAAATTCAAAATAAAAATTTTATTAATTTATATTTTAAAATTATAAATTAATTTAAATATATTGTATATTTACAAATAATTTATATTACAAAAAAATATATTAATACATAATATTATTATATATATAATATTTATTAATTTTATTAATTAAAAATATAATTAAAATGTTATCGACATTAGAATTTAAACTGTTTTAATTATTTTTAAAATTTTCAAATATTATAATTTTTTAAACTTTACAGGATACAAAATATAAAGAAAATAAAAATAAAGTAATAATTTTTGTTAAAAATTTTATATATATATTTAAAATCGTGAATAGAAAAATCCAAAGTGTAAATAAAAAAAATATCAAGACCTAATTTTAATAAAGAGAAAAATTCAAAAACTAAATAAATTCATAGAAATTATGTTTAATAAAAAAAAATATTCTCTGGATTTCACAAATATTTGGATTTGAAGTTCAGAATGTGTCATTTGCTTGAAAATCACAAGGCAAAATAAAATTGCCATCTGGTATGTATTAGCAAAACAGGCATCTAAATCTACAACATTTGCTTTGAATGCTCTCAGGGACAGAGACACTTAAATTTCTATCCCAAAAACTTCGAGCACCTGGTAACTAAGATAGATTCGGTCTATCCTACAATTGCACCCATTTCGCCTTTTTAATAGAATCAGGGTATACCTTAATCGACGTGTTGTGATAATCCTGACTGTACGGCTTCGGAATGCAGTGGCAAACTGATTCGTGGGATAACAAGTCGAACTGAAAAATTTGGTGATGAATTCTGCAGGTCGTGGAGACTAATGGCTAAAGCCGTTGGCATCACCATAGCCGTTGTTGTGTCTCCAAGGTTTCTTCTTTGCACTTCTCTCTTTTCTCAAGCTATTTTCTTGATTCCCAACCTCCTCATTTTCATTTACCTTCTTTTTTCTGGATTTATCTTTGGAAGAAACTTTCCTCTTCCTTCCAGAAGACTCTGCACTGACATTTGCAGCAACTACATCTCCTCGTGGCAGTGGCTCCTCCTCATCAAACTGCCAATTGCACAAAAGCTCAGGCTGCACTCCATAGTCTGACTGCAGGGGCTCTCCAGCTCCAGGAAGCAAGCTTGAAAAAGTTACCTCCCCATTAAGGCCTCCTTTGCGCTCCAGTAAGATGGGATCCGGTCTGATTATGGTGCCAAGAATGCTCCTGTTGGGTCCTAGGCTTAGGATGATCTTCGGATTTGTCAAGGTTGAAAAAGCCGTTGCAAAAGCTGATTTAATCTGTGCAATAAAAACATAAGGAATACACTTCCAGCAAATATTTGAAGCCACAATGAAATATAATGCATTTCTTCATATCAGAACTGTATGTTTATGATAAGTGTTTACTTCCATCTAAAAACCATGCATGTACTTTCTGTTATTTTATCCATTAGAAAATATGCAAGTATCCTTACAAAAGATGCATACAGTTCGTTTCCCAGATAAATCCAAGAAAGAACTACATAACTTGGTTTCATACACTCCACAAAAGAACAGTAATACTTCACAAAATACAAAATTTATCAGACAAACCTGGAAATAGTTGAAGGAATTCTTCCCAATGTCATTCTCTGGCATCTGATTAACCACCAAAAAAAACAGCAGTCAATAAATAAAATTGGACGAACACATCCTTGAGGACACTAGAACCAGGGTACAAAGATGCAAGACCATTAGTTAAATTTAACAAGTCAAAAAACAAGTTTCGGTCTCCTTTTCCATAAATTGACATCCAGAATGGCAGCTTTATTCCAACCAGTTCCTTTGATAACTAAATATGAAAAGAAAAGAGCAGTAACATCAACTTCACACCCCACCAACCCCAAATGTAATGCTCTAAACCATGTCATTCCGCTTATTGGAGCCTGAGGCACTTCTTACGTGGAAGGCCCACGTGCACATCTTAAGTTTGATCCCTGCTATTGTGGCATTGCCACAAACATTCACCTAATTCCTCTGACAAGTAAATAACAAACTGGAGTTCAAAACATAACCTGTGGGTCCTCAATGGAAATGAGAAATGGCCGCCCCTTTGTTGAAAACCTAAAAGAAAAAAACATATTCAAAGAAGTTATTTTTATTCACTATCGAACTTTATGAAGAAAGGCCAATGATCTTTCAATATAAAGGAACTATTTATAACAAATACCCTTTGCTATTCTTTACAAAGAAGGTGCCTTTCCCCTTGCAGGACACGCCAACATCGACGGTGTTCAGTTTGCGGCCATAGAAATCAAGAAAGTTGATCTATTCCCAAAGATAAAGCATTAAAGTAAACATAATGCAAACTTGTAAAATCTATATCATAAAGTATGTTTCACAAAAACATAAATCGATATTTTAATCACTACAAAAGAAACTTTTGAATGAGTTAGATTAATTCTTTAGACCTAGCTGATTTCAAGTGCAAATGATGATTCCAAGAGTGTACCAGGAGGATTCCTAAGTTATGCTCTGGCAAAGTTCGGCTTTCCTGATGATTCTGCAGGGAAAATATGAGACCAAAAAAAAAGGTCACAGAAAGGAGAAATAAAGAGAAAAAAGATAAGCAAATGCATTCTAATAAGGTGATGCTAAATAGTGAGCACAATGAACCAGATGATAAACCATAGATTATCAACTTTTCCTGTGGCAAATGATAATCTTAAAAACATTAATATTATACATTCCCTACGATGACAAGCCCTTGAGAGGCCCAAGAATATTTTATGTACTTATATGGCAGCCCCAAAATGGATCAATCTGATAAAAGGTCCAATCCGACTTCATGGTCTGATTTTCTTTGGATGGAATCTTTTATTGCCTAGTTTGAAATTATTTGATAAGCATAATCTTATTACTCTTTACAGACAGAAGAACAATTCGGAAGAACATCACCAATACCCACATTCCTCCACTCCAGAGAAAAACAATAATTTATGCATTCATTCCATTATCCACCATATCTAGCCAGCCAAGAATTTTTCAAAGTTTCTGAGACTTTTAATGTTTCATCCAAATTTATAGGGTCATAGGTTATTTTTACATATTATAGTGAACAATTCTGGCTCAGTTTCCAGAGACTAGAATCCCAACAAGTATTTGAGTTTGCACATGTTAGAATCATTTTCAGAATGTACATGCAAACATTTCACTTGCCTGCAACATAGCCATAAGCATGGCAAGAAGGGCATATGAACCTATTCCACCTGAATACACCTGCATTCCATAAAGAAATTCTGAATCAGCCCCAACAGCAAAAACAGATAATTTGGAGAAAATAAAAGGAAGTTTCCACAAACAACAAAGGATAGAGTAATACAGGTTTATACCTCATTCAATTCTCTCTGTTGTAAAAATACTTTCAAAATCAAGCACAATGGTCTTAATGGAGGCCACTTCAACACCGAGTCCTACAAAAAGAAACACATATAGCCATAATAAGTACCAGAAAAAATATTGCAGTAAGGAGATATATTGGCAGCAAATCCTTAAAAGAAATTCCCTAAACATACAGGCCAGTTCCTATGCAGATATAACATTATTCAAACAAAATTTGCCCACACACGGTCTCCCCAGACCTTTAGGTGAAAGATTAGAAATATGATCATCATGCCATATCAGTAGTGACACAATTAGAGGAATATATATGATAAGAAAGAAAGTATGGCAACAAACCTTTATGAACTCAGCTGCTTTTGGTCCATTCTGTGCGTCGAAACTGCGACCCAGAAAACATATATTAGCCTATTTTGCACAAAACATCGTCAGTCAATCCAAATTCAAAGGCATTAAAGAACTATGAAGTAAAACCTTATGTCAAATGGAACACCACTTTTCTTCTCTACAAATTTGATAATTGGAACACGAGCCTTGGCAATCACCTGAGAGATCAAAAGAAAGATTTTCAGATAATGAATTTCTTAAAATGAATGTACTCTAGTAATAAAAGGAAACAAACCTGTATCTTTTTAGCAATGCCTCTTTGTGCCAATGCCCTAGCAAGAGCCTGCAAACCAGTTTGCGGGTTTTTGATACCTGACTTCAGAATCACGACCTACACTTCAAGAAAAGGCTGTATCTTAGCTTGGATGTGATGAAATCCAATCTTATCAAGCCCCGAGATGATCCAGCTACATAAAGGAAATGAATTATCTACTTCCAAAAGGGACTATGATCTATTCCAGGCTTGATCCTTCCAACTTCAAGATCATTCTATTGAACAAAATCCCATGAAATTTCTTTACAATATGCAAGGATGCTTTCTAGAATAGATGGTTGAATAGAAAAATCAATATTAATTCTTCTAGCAAAGCAGCAGCAAATATGCTACGTCTCAGTGGTATGGCTGTGTACCTTCTGAGCCCATTAACAAGCGTTATAATCAGGTCAAATTATAGGTTTCTATTCCTTCAAGGAGCTTAGATTATAGCTTTACAATGTAAGAGACGAGATCATACTTACATCAACATCACTAGTCGGAAGATAAAGCCCTGTGCTGAATGACCCAAAAACCTCCACCTACATTGAAAGAGAAGTAGCAAGATGTGGTAAAAACAAGAACTTTGACAGCTTGAGAGAGAGAGAGAGAGAGAGAGAGAGAGAGGAGAGCAGGCAGCCACTGGTACCTTGCAGTTAGGCCATATATATTTGATAACATCAAATACACATTCGACTGCTGCAGTACGTGAAGCTTCTTCTTCTGGGGTTGGAGAGAGAAAATCACAAAAGTCCACTATCTCTGTAATAACTAAGATTGATTATCATCCCATAATTCCATTAATAGGTATAATTATTGAGTGCTGCTTGGCATTCCATTCATTTGGGTTTTTCTAACTCGTAAGATAAGGAGATATCTACTCTAAAACACGACAAGAGGATCTCTTAAGATAACCACAAGAAGCATAAAACATTACATGTTCTCAATTCTCATATGATGAAAACACTTCTCAAAGTAGGATTTAAATTTGGGAATCCTAACACGGTATGCCGAATTCAGTAAAGTGCTAATAATTCTGCCTAGAAGGGGAAAAAAGCTTTCAAAAATTAAGCCTAAATCACTTCAGCTTAACATAATCAAATTCATTAGTTGCAATTGCTTAATTACCTTTATGCAACTGAAGCATTGGGCTCTTAAGCCTACGGTTCCCCCTAAACCACGCAAGCTCCAGCCTTGGCTCCGCTTCATTAGAAGCCACCATATCAGCCTCGGATTTCTTCTTCTTCCTACTTTTCTTTGGTTGAGGCAGTGGACTCCTTGGTTCTGTCTCATCGAGCCCATCCGCCGTCCGCTCCTCCGACCCATCACCCACTTCCAACGAGAAATAATCTGGTGCAGCGGCCTCCTCAGACGAAAAATTCACCTTCGAAGAGGAAATTTCGTTGCGAAGGACACTGTAGGGCTCCGGAGACTGATTGCGCGGCGAATAACGATCGGACCTAAAAGGCAAAAGTTGAGCCGACAGTGGAGATTGATCGACGGGGGAGACAGCGAGGGGACTCAAGGTTTCATAAAGATAAACTGGGGTTTTGGGTTCAGTTTGAGGATCCATCGGGACGGGATGATTGCGGCGACCAGTAGAGAAAAGGGTTTTAGTTTTACAAATTAGGGGTTTAGCTCCGACGCCGCAGAGGAGAAGACAAAGGAGGAAGAGAAAGCGGAAGACAATAATAAGCCGGGGGGGGATTTTTTATTTTTTTAATTATTTTTTTATTAATTCGTATTCAAATTATTATATGAAAAAAGGGAAAATAATTTTTTCCTTTGCCTTTTCGAAATTAATCAATACCGATTAAGGGTCTAATTGTAATTAATTAAGTTAATTAATCTTACTTCTCCTACTTCGACTCGTAATTTAGTTAAATTAAACTCTATAAATAACCAAAAGAACTCCACTTAATACACATGCGATTAATTACTTACGTGCTTCAAACATGGCTTTGCTGAGTATGGTTCTTCTCTCTCTAACTGGCGGCGCTGCTCTCGTGTTGTTAGATCATTATTTCGGTCCCATGATCAGTTCAAGAATCCCACATTATTCAGACCGCGATCATCAAGAAACTCCGTTCAACGTCCAAGATTTCTTGCCGGAAACCAGGAGCATTGAAACGGTGGTGTTTGAATATAATCACCTTCTTCACGTCCCTCGTGAGATAACACGGCGGCCTGTGAGGGTGTGGGAGATGCCGTTTTCGGAGGTGGTAGGTGGGAAGGCGACGACGGTGAGTTGCAGTGGCTGCGTGGTGTGCTTGGAGGAGTTTGGAGAGAAGGAGATTTGCGCGGTTCTTCCTGTCTGCCGACATGTTTACCACCCTGATTGTCTCCAACAATGGTTTCTCCGACAAAGCACCTGCCCTCTTTGTCGAAGGTCTCTGTAATAACAGCTAGGCTCCCATGGATTTTCTGTAATTAGTTTAAAAAACAAGTTTGGTTTCTTTAGTTTTTATTTTTGATTTGGCATTAATTGGTTTAAAGTTGTAAGTAAGTGCATGAGAATTATGTAGAAGGAACCCAATTCATGATTTCATTATTTGATTAAGTGACAAACCTGTGGATTGTTATAATTTGATTAGGATTAATCAAATCATATGTCTAATTCAACCTTAATTGTATCTTAAATATCTTAATCAAGTAAATTAACAAAATATCTTAAATACCCATCAACAAAATAAGCCAACAAAAATCCAAATAAAGGTCAAAATTACCATAATCACAATCTTAGTTAGGCTGGCATTCAACAAACCAAACTAATTGTTAAATTCAAATCTTTGACTCCAAGAATTGTAGAACAAAACTGTTTCTTCCTCGTATCTTATGTCAAAAAACTAATTTTCCCGCGTCGAGTTTGTTTATAATTAACTAAAATTCATTCGATCATGTCTATAACCCGAAACTTTAGTTTTAAATCAACTAGACTCTAGATCAAAAATGTCGAATACAAACGAAATGGATTCCCAAGCTCTTTTTTCTCCGAGTAATTTGAGTTATTCTTTAAAAATTGGACCGATCATTAGTGCTTTCAGCATTGCGATTCTCATCCTCTTTTGCATAATGGTTATATGCATTATAATCTCGTTATTCATTGTCCTCCTCCTTTATATAATATGTGAATGGATTTGTCGACCTTTGTCAAGAAGATACAATATTGATCTCGAATTAGGTAGCAGTCACCAGGCGAGAATTGTGACATATCGTGCAATTTTTCCGCAGTATTTGCCACAATTACAACTTCTGGATCCACATTCATCAAGCAAAGAAGAAAAACTAACTATGAGGAAACAGGTATTGGAAAAATTATTACCACCTGTAATTTTTGGAAGCGAACATGCCAAGAAAAAATACAGAGATTGCGCTATTTGTTTGAATGATTACGCTAACGGGGAAGCTTGTCGAGTTTTTCCCCTCTGTAACCACATGTTTCATCTCGATTGTATCGATAAATGGTTGAAGAATCATCTCACTTGTCCCGTATGTCGAAAATGTATATTAGATTTATGATTTAGAGACTATACATATATGCGTAACAATTGCTGAAATTGATCGTAAATATACCCAGGACCGATTTAATTTTCATTTTCTAACTATTCCTTTACATCATCATTCTCTTTTATTTAATTTCTTGTTTCTTGTTGTTTGCATTTTCTTGGTGATCTTATCTGTACTCTAGCCGAAATCGAAAACAATGACATTTCAGCTGCAGCTAGGAATAATGTCATAACAAAAAGAAAAAGACAAACCAAAAAATTCTTGTGATTCTTCAAACAATGTCTGTAAATCTCTTGGTTTCTATAATTTGAATTCAACAATTTCATAACTTCTCCAACCCAAAACCCAATTAAAGCTTCAAGAATCTGTTTCTTGAAAGTTAAACAAATGGACAGCAAGATCATAGCAACAGAAACCTCTCTTCTCCAACTCTATTCCTCACTTTCTTCCTTCTGCAATATCCTCATTCATTCTCTTGGTTCCATACTTTACTTCATCATACTTCTCTCCATTTACACGCTAGGAGTTCTGTTTGCTGGATGCTTTATCACTTATTTGATCGAGATCATACTCTGGTTCCTTGTCAGAAGACCTGTTCGATCTGCAAAAGATTTGATAAGTTTAATGAGTCTGGACTGGGATACATGTTTTGCCTTGGGAATTCTAGCAGTCGATGCAGGAACCTCGATTGTAGATGCACTGGAAAAGCTTTTGGTAAGGGAAAGTTCTGTGCTTGAAATACCATCTAGTAGCTTGACAAGCCAGGCGAAGTTAATTATGGATGCTAAGCAGATAAGATTTCATGTTGGTGAAACAGCTTCCAGCGACACTGCCTGTGCAATCTGCTTGGATGAGTTCATGGATGGTAATCTGTGTAGAGTTATTCCTGTCTGTAATCACATCTTTCACTCGACTTGTGTCGATCAGTGGTTGAAGAATTGCCCAAGTTGCCCACTCTGTAGGCGGGTTATGGGTTCATGAACTCTATTAACCAGAGTTCTTATAAAAAGAATCCAACTTTTCTGCTCAGTTAAGAATACTTCAATGGATTTTCTGTCGTAAAATACATATATATGTATATAAGTTCTGCAAATAATTCAATTGAAGAAGAAGACGGTGGTATTAAATACAGTGTGAACTTCATCAGGACATGATATATATAACTGCAACTCTTTCAACCCAAAACAAGAAGCATCAATGGCAAAATTCAGCGCCAAGAACGGACAGAGACTGAATAATATTTTCATTCACAGTAAATATAAAGAACAAGATAAAAACACAAACAGATTAAAAACCCAACTTTCATTCCCTTGCCGATTGACAAATCCAGATTTTTCTTCGTAACCAAAGTAAAAAAAAAAAGATGAAACGAAAAAGACGATTCATAATGAGAAGAATAGTAAGGAAAAGATTATTCTATTTTCTCTGTCCCGCATATTCTTCGTCGTCTTCTTCATCATCAAAATCACCGTCATCATCTTCACTGTCATCAACAAAATCATCCGCATCAAAATCCTCATCCTCAAAATCAGAACCCTCCACCTCCTTCTCCTCATCCTCGATTTCTCTGCGAAACCCACGAGCCTCGACCACACCAAATTGGTTTCCAGCAGCGGAGTTTGAGTTCTGCAAAATCCCCTGCTTCTCCCCCAAAACAGAGCCCAAAAGCCCAGCTTGGAGAACTGGATACGATTCGGCGAAAATGGGCTTTTGGGTAGTAAATACCTGACTGCAAATCAACAGTGACTGAAATCTTTCGAGATTTTGGGCAGCGCTGCCGACAATTCGGGAGCTACCAAAAATCTGGCTGCGTAGCAGCTGAGACATTGACTTCCCGTTTCCAAGGAGCAATCTTGATGCTGCTGCTGCTGTTGTTGTTGAAGCCATTGACGAAATGCAACAACAACACCTCCAATTCTTTTCTGTGGCTCTGGGTTACAGCGGAGGCTAAAAGAGAAGAGAGGGATGATGGGGTTGATATAGCGAGGGTTTAGGGTTTTGGGGAAGAAGGGTTAGTAGGTTCTAGATGGAATTACCTTGTCCCAGAGACTGGTCAGGGACGTGCCACGTGTAGGCTCCTTAGGTTTTCTTTGTTTTTCTGAAAAAACAAATATATACACATATGTATATATACACACATATATAACAAGTAATTGTGGTGGGAAAGCTTTATTATTTTTGGTAAATTACAAGTAAGTAAATGGGTTTTTTTTTTTTTTGCTAATTATAATCGGTTTTATTGTTTGGAAATATAAATAATTTAATTATTTCATGTTAAATAAATATTATAGTTAAGTTAAAATTATTAATTACAAGAGAATATACAACAAATTTCTATTAAAAAAACAAATAAAATTAAATATATATATATATATAAATTAACCAAAATTATAAGTGTAATTATCATATATTATTATATCTTGAATTCTATACATATAACATCAATGCTATTGCATTTATATGGCAATGTAATTACAAATTTAGTAGATTATACATGAACAAATTAAACAAATATCTTTAATTTTTTCATTTCTTTTCAAAAAATAATATTTAACTTTAAGAATATATAGTCAATATAATATATATACACACATACACATATATATATATATATAGAGAAAGAGAGAGAGAGAGAGAGATGGTAACTAACATGGGCTAGTCTCATGCATATTCAATGTAAGTAATCATTTATTCCTTCCTTCTCATGATCATTAGCCTTGCATTTAAGCAAAGCATATGCTAACCCCATTATTATTATTGTTATTGTTATTCTTTACTAATGGTTTGATGTATGTATATGTATATGTATATATATATATGCATGGAATGAGTATATGTATATACATACATACATATACATGAAGCCAATAGAAAACTATGATATACCCACAAGAGCATACTGCAAAAAAGGAGAGATAAAAAAGGGAGAATGGCTCACAACAAAGTAGTTCAAAATTGGGAGAGAGAATTATTTATATTATACCCCAAGCATTCCACACATATAAATATACCCAATACGAGTTTACTCTCATCAATATGGTATCAAAAAAACCCTTACAACTACTGTACTTGAGAATCAAATCAGTCAAATTACAGGCTTAGGTTTAGGTCAGGATGCACATGACCATTACCCACATTTGCAGGCTTAGCAAATTTATCGCAGTCCTCGACACCAAGTGCAGTGAATTCAGCCACAAGCACAACAATTTGCTTGGCAACACATTCCTTAAAATGATTTGAGGGAGGCATGCCACCTGCGTCAACATCCTGAATCCCACCTTGGACAATAGACCCTAAAGGAGCACCTTCAGTGTATGCTTTACATGCTGCCAGAATATCATGAGCATGGGTGTAAAAATGTCCCACGATGAAGTCCTCAAAATTCTGTAAGACAAACAAGAAGGTACAAGGATGAGAAGTTATATATATATATGGGGGTGGGGGGGAGAAAGATGCATGTCAAGCAAAAGATAAAAGTTTATCAGAAAATACCCAGTTGGTTTTCAAGAGTGATGATAAGTTGTCAACTGTAAGGATGTATCATAATAACAATTCAACTTCATTACTGCAACTTACCTTTGGCTGTTTCCTAACGAGAAAAGCCATCGTCTTCACTGATAAGATAAAAATTGCTTCATTGTAATCCTGAGATTGCATTTCACCTTGTTTGGAGCCACGTATGATTTCAAAACCAGGCTCATTAAAGAAGGGATCTTGATTCAAGATCAGTGCTTGTATTGACACGAAAACCTGCAGCATTGTGGATACACCAGGGATCCACTTCTCATTCTTCCTACCAGACCAGGTGTTAAGAAGACTGAGACATACTTTCCCACACTCGTACAGATTTGGATTCAGTCGATAGCCACCGGAGTGGTAGTGAAGAGACTAGAAGATTGAATCATGAAGTATCAGACCAAAAGTGTGCAAAAGCAAAGGCAAAATAATTTCACACTACAATGAAACCATAATCACTTACTGGTGGAGAATAGGGATAGTCAGGGGGGAAGAAAACATCGAAGAAGAAGAGTCCATCATGGTAGGGAGTACCCTCAGCTCCAACTATTACAGCTCTCATAAGATCCATCCTAGATTCGTAAACCCTGACAAGTATGGTCTCTGTTGCAGGACAAAAAAGTGAGCAGTGGTACTATGCATGATAACCAGACAGAAATTCCTGGAAAAAACTAATATTTGCAATGGAGCATGGTAATCCTTAGGGAGGAATGCGTCTTGCAGAAGTAAAATGAAGAATATTTATGTAAGATGTAAAGTACTCCAGGAGTGTCTGACAATCCTAAAGACAGCAAGGATGTCGTTAACACTCCCGAATCGTAATGCAATATTATATTACTTGCTTACCAATTTCATGGGTTCCAAATGTCAACAAACTTGACTTCTAAGAGCTGAGTAATTATATAATTTAAGATCACCTAATCAACTGGCATACAGAATACGGCTAAGCTAACCTGGCAAATTGTTCTCCAGGATTCTCCACTCCTCCTGGACTCTCTTCGCCCAAGTTTTTGATGACTGTCAGAAAGATGAAAAACAAGAAGCAACTTCACAAATATCTGCATAACAAACAAATTATAAGAACATTCACTAAATTTAAAGACTACTCACCTGCTTTGCTGAATCATCCCGAGAGGTGTAGTAATGGTCTGAATGGTCTTCAACTATGTCAAACTGTTTGAATTGTTGAAATTTCCTCAATAAATCAGCCTCATCCACATTCGTCTGGATTCTGGGAGAATTCTCGGCCGAAGGAGTGTCCCTTTCTCCTTCAAGAGAGTTACCTACTATATTAAATGAGTCGAAAAAACTTGTTTCAATGGTATAGATCTCGAGCGCAGAAAGTTGTTCAGTATGCAGAGGCTGGTCCAACCAAGACAATGGAGATGCTAACTCAGGAGGTTGATTACTTCCGCTACTACTACCACCAAGTTGATTTTCTAAATCGGCAACTGTCAAGTGTCCCATAAAAGATGCCCCAGCTCCAACAGCGAGCATCACTTCATCTGATTGCAGAAGCTGCTGAGATTGAGAAGTAGCAAAATCAATCTGGCTTTGAAGAGTTGGAAGAACCGGCAATGGTAAATTCATATCCAGACCAGCAGGGTGACCGGAAGTATTCTCTTGTGCCAAAAAATTTAAATCAAGCACAGGAGCTGGCTCCATTCTGGGAAAAGCAGGTTCCCCGGAGCTTGAAGATGCAAATGAACCCAGCTCATAGGTATACACAGGTTCTAACTTCACTGGAGCCTCTTCATCCAATGGATTATGCCCAGTTTCTGTGTTTCTTGTATGTTCAGCAAACTCCGGGAGCAGTGGGATAGAAACCTCAACTCCAGCAGGAATATTTGTACTATCAAAAAACACTTGCAAACTTGCATGATCAACATCCATGAAATCCTCGTTACATTTAATGTAGTAATCACCGTAAGAACCACAATCAAGGTTAAGAAAGTTATGCCATCGAGGGTTAGTGCTTGAGGAACATTCAACCTTGCTTCCTTGTACCAAAGTTCTGGTAGCAGCTTGCTGCAAAATAATAGAATAATTTCGTGACAGTGGTCGGTATACACGTAAGGGTGAGGAACAGGTACTAAAATGAAAGGACATAATCAGCAGCTTGTGCATGGTTTAACATTAATCATATACCTTAGCTTCATGTATACCAAAATCATTATCGTCTCTTTCTACTGCCTTTCCCTTGTTCCTTGTGTCAGCTTTCTCATCAAGGATAACAGTATCAGCAGAAGCTTTATCTTCATCAATATCTATAACTCCTGGAAGAGCAACCTACAAGAACTAGAATTTTTACTACCAAATACATCCTGCGGAAATATAAGGCAAAGCACTTTAAATCTGATCAAGTAATAAACAAATCGATCCTGAACAGCACTAAACACAACATGAACAATTCTTATCTATTCTGAATATTTCCTCCAATTTTGTTATATTTATTTGAGAAAACGAATAGCACTGTTTTGAAAACAACAAATTCATTTGTCAACCCCGTAGAACGACAGAAATCTCACTTCTCCAAAATGGAGGAAACTAAACTAGGCATATATCTTTCAAAAACATACTAGCTTGATTGTCATAAAATCGAATTCTGCCACATAGAAAAGATCATGGACTAGCAATTACATCAGTGTTATTAAAACTCAAGGAACCCTGAAGTGCCGAGATAGGATACCTTACTCAAACTAAGACATGAACTAGATGATGCGAAGCCTATTCCTTTGCATGTACAAGTGAATAAACATTCATGCACCGGCAAAGAACAATCACAACCAAACCTAAACTTTACATTTTTGATGTATACTGAAAAAACACATACTTACTTTGCATCATAGAAATAACCTACATTCAAGCAGATTGTTGAAACACAATGGTGAAACTCAAACAATCAACAGTAAGGAATCATCATGTGCATTCACGAGGAGAAGCTAAGCAAAGAACATATATTTAAGAAAAAGAATTGAGAACCAGGAGACCCTAACAAAGCAGCTTGGCGACGATGAGAGTTAACATAAACAACAGTACCACTTAAATTCAAATACGATATCTGAAAAAATGGAATTATCCATTTCACGTAATGCAAGTACAGAACTAACTCACCACTACAATTATATTCCTAAACAAAAAACAAAATGATTAAAGTTTCCGGACTGTTAGACTCGCCTCCACATTGCTTTGTAGACGATTTTTGAATTTACACAAACTATTCGCAATCGATAACAATTTGTATTACGAACTAATTGTAATGCAGTATATGCCAACATAAATCCGTTTGCATTTCAAAAACTGACTGTAATGGAAAAACCAGCTTGCATTAACCGACACTTTTCGATAAAAACAA